GGCGGGAGAATATGGCGGATGACGCAAAATTTATTAAGTTAAATAGGCCACGTGTGACAACGTCGCCTGTGTCGAGTCAGCTGGGGCATTGTCATGAAGCAGACTGGCGCCTTTCATTACCTATTCTTTGTGCTTTGTTTTGATAGCTTTTCGCAACTTTTCGGACTCTCACGATAATAGTTTTTCGTGCCGAAACTAAAGGGAAGCGCGGTTCGGTTGTAGCCTGTTTTGTGGTACTTTTTTAACTTTTGGTCCTGATAATAAGAATTTACGAACGAACCTACAAGTTAGAGCCAAAGTACTTTAGCTTGGCCCTAGTAGCCGGAAGATTCTTGAAAATTTTACTTTTCTCCTATCCACACACATCAGTGCCAAAGTGCTATACACTCCCAAATAACGCCAGGAAACAATAAACCAACCAACAGTGGTCTAATTATGGCATTTGCTCTGGAATTGATTTTCAAATGTGCATGATGACAAACAAAAAACTGGGCAGTGAAGCACAACCCTGACGCTCTTTTGGCAATGTATGACCACGATGTACAGGTTCTGCCCAAAGAAGTCTAAATGTCTTTGGTATTTTGGTCTCTTCGTGTTTTCAGGTCCCTAAATTTTAAGACAAGAGCTAAGAACATACCCAGTGGTTCTACCAGAGTGATTACATTGGCAAAACGAAATAAGTAAAAGGTGACGACTAGTGTCGACTAAAAAAAAACAAAAAACATAACGTGCGACTTTGTTTTTCCTCTTGTGAACTTTCCACCTCTTGTTGGTAACAGGGTTAAGGTGTATGTCATTCATGTGGGAAGTTAAACAAAAATGGGTTTAAATAAAAAGTATCGACTGAGACAAATGTAATTCCGTATTTTTATGTTTGTTCAGTGTGAAGTTCGTCAGCCCCGACGAGCGTCTCGTGTCACCGCTGAGGATAAGAACTTTAGCCGCTAAAGTAAAACTGCTCACCTGGAGCCTTTATTAAAACAATGGTCTCAGGGACACATGAGCGTTTTAGATGTTGGTTACTCGTTTTACTCTGACTACGGTTTTGAATTAGCGGTGTCATTTGAAAGGTAAGACAACATTATTTTACTGGGTATAACTCATGTGTTATGTGGTTCGTGTGCATTTATAGCGTCGTGAATTGAGAAATGCGAACTACCACTTGCTCGGCGACTTCCCATTTCCTAGCAAATTTTTAAGGATGAATGGCGGACGGGTTCGCAGACAACCGAGTTATCAATGCTTGTAACTAACGATGCCATCACCCGATAGGCGCATCAAGCAGATGACAGATTCCGTCATAGGTTCGAAAATGCTGCTTTTGGCAAAGTAGAGTTTGTGTTTACTTTTAACCTCGTTCCTCACCATCACAATTTGCAAGCTGAAGCAGGCAAGTTAGAAAATGTTCAGGACACTTTCTTTTTTTTTATGCTTGAGCCACAGGTGCCGAGGAGTTGCCATTGGTGTACGACTCGGAAGGAAAGACCGTCCAAGGAAAGATTGGGCCTTACCTGGAAGGAAGCTCCCTGGCGCTTACCTGCGAAGCCGGTTCAGGTGTGTCTATTTCCAATATCTTCAACTGCAATTCAGTAGCCCAATTAAAGGGCTGCTATTATATGTATTTTGCTATGCGTTTTGCGTTTTGGTGTGCACGGGACGACAGGGGAGAGGTGAGGAACATCGAAACATTATAAATTGCTTAATTTAGTGAGGTGTTTGTCAAGCTAAAGTTTAGTATTCAGGTACATTCATCCAGGTACTTGTAAAATTTAGGTTCACGATACAATTATGTGAGCTGGTGCAGCTAAGGAGAACCTGTATAGCGGAGTCTGCTTGACCGTACTTGTAATAGACCGACCTCGCCAGGTAGTTTGAGAACGCCACCGCTGCCGCCAAGCATCGTGGGAGCTGTAGTCTTTCTGCACGCGAGACAACTCCGCTGGAGGTCTGCGTGAGCAGAGCACGAGGCGGCATGAGGTCTCTCGTGAACTGACATGTGCCTCCTATGAACTACAGTTATGGCGGCGTCACACATGCGTGGAACGCTTGGTGAGATCGGTTCTATTGCCGCTTGAAAACACGTTCTTCCATGCGTTTTCAGGGCGCTCTACTTTGTGATTTCTCAGCAAATTGCCAATGGTATCCTGGCATTCGCGGCTGGAACCCCGGTAGGGGGCGCCACTGAGCAGCACTTGAATGTCACGCGATAGCGGGAATGTGAGGATGCCCGGTTTGTTTACATCCCACGCGCCATAGCGGTACGGAGTGATTGCTCAATTCCGGAAGCGGGGCATGGGTTTGTTATTGCCCGCTCAGTGGTTACACAACATATGCAACCGAAAAAAGGTATATGTATACATTTACATCCGAGATAAAAACAACTGGGGAAGTAGAGATGGCATTAAAACATGACAAAAGGAGTGGGCGAGAGCGAGGGTGATATGGCTTTGCGACGGTGTGCTCCAACCACTCATCGTATGCTTTCACAACGAACCGTGTTGTTTTGTATTATGTCTTGCTTTTCTTCGCGAGTGTCTGTTTTGTTCTCCGCACGAATTCCACTGGCGGAACTCAGTGCCAACCATAATCCGATAATCCGCCTTTCCTTTCCCCCGTAATAGAATTTCTTTCTCTGTGTCGTCCGTGTCAGCAGTGGCGCTGCCAAGTTGAAATGACGAGCAGTCCTTTCTGTGATGTCCCAAACGCAAGAACAATCCTGTGACTTTTCAACAGATTGGGTCCCGAGGATCCCACGTTCGAAAAAGACTTGTCGTCTTTCCGGTGCAGTAGCCGCGGAGTAGTGTTGTGATAGAGAAAAAAAAAAGAAGTAATCTATGCTGGGTGTATCACTATATCGACTACTGGTAGGCGCCATCGGGATTTTTTTTTTGTGCAATAAAAGGCGCGTTGCTGAACGTTTGTGCTGAATACAACAAGTATTCAATATGTAGACGACTTATGGCCAGCAAGAAAAACAGTGTCCTATGAAGTCCCGAAAATACAGGCTGTGAAGGTATGATTTATTGCTTTTCATTGACATTAACTATAACTGGACCAGGAAGGTACTTTCCTCACTCGCAGCTCAGATATGAACAAATCCCACATCACCTCTCTTTTTAGTTATACTGTCTTAAGGTAATCACTTCACATTTACATCTGTGGAATGTACCAAATGGCTGTCAATAAGGCGTTAGCCGTCAATCAAATGATTTGTGTAAATGCAGGATCTTAACGAAATTACTTTGATAAAGATGATTTGAACAAGCGGTTTCCTCTATACTCTTTTTCACCTCAAGAAAAATAAAGTTTTGCGCATTGTTCGTACGCCGAGAGAAGTTGTTCTTGCGTGATTTGGTTGTCAAAAGAAGCAGCGATGCTTTCAGCGTTTGAGAGATAAACGTCTTGATAGGATAAGCTGTATCTCATCTAAAGTGCACCTGCATATACCTTAATTCTTTACATAATGGCGAAATCAGTAACGCGCTGCGAAGAGATGACTTTTTTTACTGTAATACTTGATGTAAAAACGAGTAGAGAAGCTTGCCTATGTTTATTTTTTTTTCTAATTTTAAGTGTGTATAATGGTTTGTTTTCGTTTTTAAAGCCAAGTTAGGTTTTTAAATTGTGTGCCCCTTCAGAATAAACTTTTGGATTTGCATTAACTCTGTAAAGCCTCAGTCATCGACACTTTATATGCTGGGAGCATTCACTTCCTCACTGTAATTACTATAATAATAAACGTGGTGCTGCTGTCGAATTTATTTAGCTTGATAAAGTTCAGGAGGGATTTAAAACCAAATAGGTGCAGGACTGCCCTTGATTTTTTAAAGGTGGAACAATCGGGATAAAGAACTAGTAAGTTTATCTCAAGAAAGGAAACCAGGAAAACAATTGTGCCGTTTATTGTTCTCCGAGGAAGTTGCCGAATGAATGTTCATGAAAATGTCTATTAAAATCAGAAAAAAATGGAAATTTAAAACATTTGTGAGCTCAAAATGAGCATCTTCACCTTGCTTTGGTCAGAACAAAAAAATAAGAACACTCCAGTGACCAGGTTTGGAACCTAGGATGAAGTCCTGCAAGACGCAGAATTTGTAATCGTCCGCAACAAATGATAAAACATGTTAAAAAAAAGACACGAGACAAAATGTTAAGTTTTTAGAGAGACAGTGAGGTTGAATGAAAGCCGATTCCGCTCTGAGAAGGTAGGTAGGTAGTAAACGTGTATTGGAAGAAACATTCGAACGGTCGCCCTAGGCGTGGTTCGAGGAGGGAACAGGTTCTGAGGAAGTCCTTGACGTGAAGGAACGGCCGTGCTCAGAACGTCGACTCCAGGCCCGTGTTCTCCAAGTACAGGAGCAATGAGTCCAGGATCAGGGCGATTCTGGCCGAATCTCCCTCAGGCCGGGCCCAGCCTTCCAGGTTGGACGGCGTCGATGCAGGTGGTAGAAGACTAAGCGCCTTCTTTCTTTCGTTGGTGAAGTGACCGTACTCCCACACGAGGTGGTGCAGGTCTGCACTTAGGGTTTATTTGCAGTAGGGACAGATCTCAGGCTGTTCCAGTGAATGTTGGCGTTGCATCTGCTGCGGCTGTGGCGGGGAGGCCGGCGGACTGGCTGTCGACACTGGGGGTCTGTTTCTGCCGATCTTACCAGCACTCAGTTCCCACTTGCGTTGGTCGTGGGGGGTCACGGCACTGCTGGTCCTGATCCTGCGCAGAAGGACCATTCTCTTCCTGGAGTAGCGGCCGAGCGGGATGGGGTTGGGTTCGCGCGGGAGGGACGCCGGGAGCCTCTTTTTTAAGTCTTGTCTGACCTTCCTCATTGCGTCTTTAGGGTCGTAGGTGTCCGGTCTCTTGTCTCGTCTTGTTTCCTGGGGCCGGTCCTGCTAGAGTAGGCTGAAGTGCCGGGCAGGGAGTCCACACCTCGTGGTCGCGAAAGGAGAAACGCTGCTAGCGCTTTCGCGGACCGGTGAGCGGCCTTGTTGCCCGGCACTCCGGCATGGCCGAGGACCCAGTGTACAGTGGTTTTAACGTTCTTGCTCTCGAGGCGCCTGGCAAGTGCAAGAATGCGCCGGGTGGTCGGGCTGTTGGGGTCGTGCTTTCGGCATCTTCGTATGGCTTCCTGGGCGTCGGTGTAAATGTCCACCGTCTTCACGGGTGGGTTCAGGCTTTGGGTAACGTGTTCCAGGGCGTGAAGGATCGCCTGGGCTACGGCTTCCTGGGGCGTTTCAGCGGTCTTAGTTTCGCGGCTCCATGACTTGTTTTGGCGGAGATCGTGCGCTCTGAGAAGCAACGGCGGCGTACTCACTTTGGGTTGTGCCGCACACCGACACTTCTCATCTCGAATAGCCTATTAATCGCTCTGCGCTGGGACGGTTTCATTTACCCTTAAAATATTAACAGGACTAAATAAATTATTTTGTGTCAGTATTCTTCTTCCATGATCGGCAGAAAGAGCTCAGACAGGACGCCAATTACTCAAGGTGAATGCATGTGTGCTAGACATTGAAATCCATCGAGAAAAAACATTAAGACTGTTCAAAAAGAAAACGATGGATATATTCTTTCATCCAAATGCTCAGTGGACCCTCGAATTTATTTTGATTTTACGCTTGCGATTGATGAAGCAATGAGTACCGCAAGCGCACAGATTTAGGTTCGTCTACTTGCACTAAAACTAAGACGGTTATATTCACTTCAAGTTGTAATATAAATTATATTATGTGTTTTTGCAGATTTCGACCTCTCTTGGCATTGGAACTCGACAGTGCTTCCAGGGAAACGTCACATTGACATGAAAACCGGAGTAGTTCGCAGTCAACTTAATCACCGAAATATTTCTCGGAGTGATCTTAATGCAGATGTTACCTGCACGGCGTCAAATTCTTTTGGTGATGACTTTAAACGAACCCTCAAGTTAGACGTCTGGAGTAAGTGTACAGTACTAATTTTGAAGTTTGTGCGCAAACATTACTTTGTCAACATCATGATATTGATCATGCTCGTGTCATACTGAAAGACGGGTTCGCACGAAGAATATCCAACCCCTTGAAGAGTGTCTTGGACAGTTTCTGAAATATGTTGAAAATCTAGGAATAATGAGAAAATGCGATTACACCTCAATGTGTGATGATAAATAACCCTGATTAGTAGATTTTCAAACCTAAAGCTATAACCCATAGACGTGCGTCATTAAGACCTGTTCCCTCAAACAACGCAGTGGTAACCAAGAACTGATTTATTTAGCGCTAGAAACATCAATAGTATTTGTGTTGATAACAAGTTGCTGAAAGAGGGGTAATAAAACAGAGGTTAATAGTTTGGTGGCAGGTTTCGAACATCTGTACTTGCATTGTGCCACAGTGCCTATGGTTTTGGTGACTTATTTCAGTTTAAGATCAACATTTTCAATAGCGTACGCAAAAGAACACTGTCGAAGTACCGAGCTTGCTTCAATACCGCGAATGTCGTCTTTCTAGGAACAAAGTTATAGCACTGCAACTGCTTAGGGAAACATGCTCAACGCCACGAGCGCTTTTATCTCTAGCATGGGATAAGCTCGAATATAATTGAAGCACTGCATGATTTAGCTTCGCGCTGCATGTGTAAACCAGCCATTACTGTGATAGAGAGTTCATGTAAATATTTTAAAAAGTGCAATAATGCATGAACATTGACCGAACAGCAATATTAGCTATGGTAGGGAACAAACTAAGAATCTAGCAGAAGCTCGCATACAGCACGCGCTCTTTTGCCTTCCACCATCTTTTAATTGCCCAATTCACGACAGTTTCAAGCGTTCTCAGAAGTAGAATTCTCCCAGTGGACACGGAGCTTCTACTTCATTCTTAACTTGTCACCGATTTAAGTTTTAAGATTTAAGATTTAATGCGAAAGTTACAGCAACGCTGTAACTTTCGCATTAACTATTAGCGTAAGCGTTTTACGACATTTAGAACAGCGATCCACTCCACACTTCTGCTTTCCCACAGCAAAGCCCACTGACATTCGTATAAGGCCACGCCCATTCAACGAAGACGCCGCGGCGAGCGTGGAGTGCGAAGTCCTGGGTTCGAGACCCTCGCCTCTGGTGACGTGGTACTTGGGAGACCATGGCCCTCTCGATGCCTCCTTTACGCACGATCAGACCGATGACGCTGTCACGACCAGTGTGCTGACGTTCACGGCCCAAGCGGGGGACAGCGGGAAGACGCTCATGTGCGTCGCGGAACACCGGATAATTGACTACAAGATTAACACCAGCTTCGTCGTCGAGGTCCAGTGTAGGTGAAAAATCTGATAAGCACGAAGAGTAATAGGTATATTATAGCTGAATTAATTTGTTAACTCTAATCCTTTGACTGTTTGGTCGCAGTTTTCCTGCTCGGTTTTGTAACAAATAAAATCTACGGCGAGTAGGAAGGTGGGTTTAAGTAGGTTTAGGGTAACTCCAGAGTTGAAAAAAGCGTGGAAGTGAGATGCAAGAAATTACATAGTTCCCACAAAAAAAAAAAAAAAAAATCCTGTTAAATGGCTTGATTTACAAACCTCGCGGATGGTTTAGTTGACGCTCATGCTCCGGTAAAATGTGAGTGTGTGCTTATGTTTTTTCCACATTTATATTGACGTTCAATCTCAAGCAGATCGTGTAATTGACATTTCGTCCGAAACCAAAAATGCAGTGTTCAGTTTCCCGTACATGTACCAGGATCAAACCACTGAGTTTCAGGAAGAGGATGCTGGTACCGATTACCCAGTTCGCTATGACAAATAAGCAACCAGTGGAAACAATGCGAAAGCACTCATGTCAGACATTTATATATATATATATATATACAAAAGTATTGGCCATACGCTTGATATTGGGAAAACACAGCTCTGCAAATTTTGATTGGCAAACGGGACCATAAAAAAAATTGGGTACAATGGTGTCTATCTTGGATTCGGTGTTCGAAAGAGCGAACTTGATCAAATAGCTATTTCATGTAGATCGTTTTTAGCACAGTAACACCCAGTTAAACAGTCAGTAAGAACCCCAGGATCGATATTTTTTTATGTTGCGAACCACTGAAATGGATTCCTAGGGAACGCAGTAAATATTTTAAGCATATAGAATATGTATCTTCAGAAAACAAAAATCCAGATGGCCGGAGTTTAAGCTCTCGCCCGACGCGCACGGCGAAATGGTGCACGCCTACCTCTTTGGGGTACTTAAAAAAAGAAGTGTCGGTGAACATTTCCTCTTTCCCTCCCCGTCTCTCATCAATTAGGAAAATCACGAGAGCTCGCGTCTGCCAACCGGCCGAGCGTGTTCCCATTTCGCTGGGCGCTTGCCACGTGAGCTTTCTCCGGGTGCAGAACACCTGTAATTTTTTTTTTCAATTGTATTTCTTTAGCAGTTTGTCGAAAAGCCACTAAAATAAAATTGAATTAAAACGTGAAAAGCGGTTGAGATTTTCTAAGCAGATGATGATGTTTCGAACTCTTTCTAAAATAGGTAATGGTAAACATTCTGTGTGCAGACTTTGGTGAGCGAGGCGAAAGATAACCGAAACATTTGTTTATCACTCGATTAATGCTGTCTTGAAATATATATAAAAAGACGTTATCCGGTATCAAAAAAAAAAGAAAGAAAACCCTTCCGTCCGAGCATTTGAGAACTTTCTTATCGTCCTCATCACTCTGAAAGCCCTAAGTAGTAAAGCCCCTTGATACGTTTGTGATCAAAAATAGGGTCAAATACGCCACAGCACGAGGCGAATGCCCTGGCAGGTGTTTTTCGCGTCCCTGCGATAATGATTGGCGGTACATGTTATATAGGGTGGTCCAAGTCACCAGGCTCAATCTAAAATGGACCGTAAAAATCGACGCCTGCACGTAGAAATCTAAACTTTTCGTTAAAGGTGTAATTCACATGTCGGTTTTTTCTTGTAAAATTACAAAGCGTGCATTTCGAACAAGCGACTTCTAATTTGCCTTCTTCCTTTGGCGATTTTCGGTGGGGTTGTCGTCATTTGAGGCATCAACATATCAGCCGCCTGTGATCAGTGACGAATGAAGCCTGGAAAATATGAATCCTTTTGCTTCATATTTTGGGCATCTGTCGTTTGTTATTCCAGCGTTTTGGTTTAAACACCGAATGTCAGAAAAAACAATTGACCGCTAATTTTCGCGTTTTTTGTAAGTAACTGAGAAACCGGGACCCTAGTCGGAGGATAACCGAGTGCTACTTTCTGCTTTTACTGCAGATGAACCCAAAGTCGTCCTTTCACTGAACGCCAGCAGGCCCGGTGCTGGCGAGGACGTCTACCTCGAATGCGAGATTCAGGCCAATCCGATGGCCACGCACGTTCACTGGTACCTCAACAGCGATCCCATCGCAGCCTTCCCTCTCGACGTCTACCAGCACACGGTGACGCTCAGGAAAACTCAAGTGACGCCCCGTGACTCTGGAGATTACCAATGCGCTGCCCTCAGCAGTTACGGCGTCGGTCGCAGCAACGTGGTGAACATTTATATAAACGGTAAATTAATTTTCTATGTATATTTGAAGCTGTTCTTTCAGCTATTTCAAAAGCTATGTTTGCGGAAAAAGAGGGACGTGTTATTATTGCATAAAGAGTTACGTATCCAGATTGCGCAAAGAATCTGTGCTAACTGACTTACTTGGCACACAATATTTTGATATAAAGCTTGTTATGACCACATAAGTCCAACAATATTTTATTAGGTGACGGGCATTCACAATGCCTTGCCCGCTTATAGTAAATACATATATATATATAAAAATCCGTTGAAATCTAATTACTGGGAGCGCAAGCGCCGTTCCGAGAAGCGTCTGTTTATTGAATTCCCACTTGAGCCCTTTGTGTCCTTGAACGTTTTCTTTTTCTCGAATATCTCTTAATTAGAGTACTTCATTCGATTTAGGCAGAAGCATTTCTACATATCTGTTATGTGTGGTGCTTAAGTTGTCGCCTTTTCTTCTTACTTATTATACGGAAGAAACTGCAGTTACAACTGGACTCAAACTAGGATTATTTAGGTTTTAAGATGTTTTGTGTTATAAAGGACTAACCAGAGTGGAGGCAGTATTACACTGCCAGGCAGTTACGATCATCAAGGCTAAATAAATACGGAAGAACGCGCTACGCAACAGCTCGCTGGTTATGCCATCAAACAACCATCAAAATGCCAGTATTTGGGGCTACTCAAAAGGACGCCACCCACAATAAGAGCATTCTTTTTTTTTTTACTTTTTTGAAATTTGTTCTAATGTGCATCTGTTTCCTTATTTTCATTGCAGAGAAAGGTAGCGGAGACCTGTCGACACATCTCTCAGTCGATATTCAATTAATCAGTTTCTCGGCTCTTGCATCAGCGGCATCTTACTCATCTTCCCGTAGCAAGCTTCCATAAACAAGAAAACAATGGTTAATTTGTCCTTGTCAGAAGCTAAGTTAGAGTTTAGTCACTCATTGTAGTTAAAACCGCAATATATTGCGACAATTCAATTGGTACCTAGAAATAAGCAGAAGAGAATGCCGCTAATCACATCATGACATTAATTGCTATTTATTATGTTTGCATTAAAATGTAAGACCAGCGCCCCTTAATAAAAAACTGTTATGTATAAACAAAATGATAATTAAATTTCCACTATCTGCTCAGTCGTTCTTTCTCTTATTTCCTGAAATATTTTATGAAAAAATGCGTCTTTGGTGTTCACCGTGGGAACCTCTGGAAGTCTATAGTTTTCCAAAGTCACCGCAACCTGGTGTCTACGCCTCTTTGATCCTAGCATGGCTGGTGTAGTAATCGCTGATGGCCTTTCGAAAACAACGCCCTCTGGAATGCCCTTCAGTCTGTCTTGAAGAGGCCAGGAGGTAGCCATTCCAACTGCGCTATCCGTCGACCCTCTAAGAAACGTTTCCAGGAATTTTCTTATCACGGACTCCGTGCTCGTCAACAGCTGCGTCGTGCCCGCCGCTGTCAGTGAGGTATTTAAATGAGCGAATAAAAGAGTCGCGTGTCTACGGGCTTGTCTTAAGCCGAAATATAAAAAGCTGTTCTTTCCACTTTGATCATCTGGAAGTTGAAAAGTTTCGTTATCTACGCCTGCCTCTAACGCCGTGGGGACTTCAATTGTGGTGGTACTGCTTCGATTGATGCCAATCTTCTCTTTGTAAGCAGGCAGGTGCCATTGCTGGTCGTTAATGTATTTAAACTTAAAGACCGGAATTCTCGTCATGTCAGCCAGCTGGGGCCTTGCAATCTTAATCTGGTCACCTCTGATTCCTTCTAAGGCAAAGCCTAGGCTGTTTGCAGTCGTGGGGGTCCGTGAGACGTCCACGCTGTTGTCGTCCGAGTCGCCAAAAAAAGGTTCGGCCACGTCGAGTTCTTTCTCCAGCCTTTCTGGGATCTTGTCCAATTGGCCTACTTGCTTAGTTGTTGATGCTGTTGATTCTGTTGAGTTCGGCGGCTCTTCCGTTGTCGTGTTGATTTTTCCTATGCCCACGTAACCTGGGCAGGGAAGGATTGGCTGTTTGTAGTAATCTAGAAATAAGTCTGAAGAATACTACAATGGTTCCGGGAAGAGGAGTTAAGTAAAGACAGATTGTCCGCTCCTCTATAGTTACCAATAGCTAAAGAGAAAATGGGCATGGGGAATCCCGAGCACCTTATCGTCGCTCCGCAATTAGCGAAATTACGGCACCAACTCATGCGCGAAGAACACAACATGAGGCAAGTGAGGTGGACATAGTAAGCAACGACCAGCGTTTTTTTAAATTTTCAAAGAATACGACAACTAAAATTTAATGCGATAACACACATATACGACTTCTTGTAATATGGAGCACGCGATGCACTTGAATTCCTCCTTTGATACATGTAAGGACAGAGCACTGATGTAAATCGTTTCACCAGCGAGCTTGACATTGAAAGATTCAAAGTCTCTCTAAGTTGTGTTTTTTTTTCTACGTTTTAAGAATTTCTGCTCTCTCCAGCTCAATCTTGCAACTAAATTTACTACAATGCCCTGCCAAATGTTCTGATGGTACCCGCTTCACTAACAACTGAAATGAAAAGCTCAGTTGTAGTAGTTTCTAGCATTTTATGCTAGTTTCTATCTTTCGTATTAGTGTTTGAATGACAAGCGTCAAAACGACAACATACCCCATTCAAAGTATTAGCTAAAGCATTCGGTCCGGCAACTTTTTGCGTCTAAGATCACCACAGGCTTCATTAGCATTTGAGTCGTCAAGTACTTCAAAGATTAATATCAAAACTGCGTGCTCCAGCATTTTCTTAGACCAAACATGAAACAAATACTCGCAGGCACGCAAAATAAGCATGGTTGCGATAGTATAAATTTGCTTTGTGAGTGGTCACAAGTTAGGTATACAATGCAATCACGTGGTGCCCACAGAGTAAACTTTATTATTTAGAATTATCGCTCAAGAACACATGGTACAAAAATGCATCAGTTAAATCAGCTTAGGAAAAAAAAAAAAAACTAGCCAGTCGTTTATGAACCCTCCATACTTAATTACATTTTTCAGAAGCCAACAGGTTACAAAAAGAGTCCATTCTAAGAAGCTACTGCACGTCTACTCATCCTCAGAACAATAAAAACGCCAATCATTGTGGTTTAGGAAATCAGCTCAGCCAATGATGGTGCGGAACATCTGCTTAGACCTAAAAATTAAGTCCGCGTTGTAGCATTAAGCAATGCAAGCATTACGCTTTGCTTTGTGTAATGCCATAGCGCAGACCTAATTTTTAGGTCTAAACGGATGCCCCGGCTCTCCAATCGCTGAGCTCTTTTCCTAGATCGCAATGATTGGCTCTTTGAATATTTTGCTGGTAAGTAGGCGCGCAGGCATTCTTAGAGCGCGGTAGCTGAGATTTCTAACCTCCGCTTCAGATGACAGAGGCAGAGTTTCTGTAGTGCATTCGGTGAACAAATATATTTCATCCACGAACTGTTTTGTCTCTCTTCACTATTTTTGGACGGCTTAGTGAAAACTAAGTAGAAAGCTTATGCAAGACCGCGCAAAAGAACTGCTTAAAGCGGCAATGCAACAATGTTGGTGCTTTTAGTAACTCTATTTTAAAATTACACTGACATTTGTAACCTATGAATCTCGCGTTAGCTCATTTCTCTACACAGTGGCAGACCCGCATTCATTCGCTCAACTCGTTGCTGGAACAAGCGGCCACGCTGTCTGGAGCCGGTTATATGCCGCCGATGTTTATCATAGACACGTTCTGGGGTGGGCAAATTTGAGGGCCGCGCGTATTCCACAGAGTGTTAAGATTTGGCTATTCCTGTAATCGCAAACGATTGAACACAACACACTCCCCGAATGCTTATCGACACATTGACTGTCACAAATTCGAAATCGTGCTGGTGTCCTCTGTATAAGTGGCATTTAAATATCGTCACCGCGGGGATAGGAAAGCTTGGCGACGTAATTCTGGACATCGCATTGTTGACAGTGCCAACAATGCGAACCCCAGAACTTCGTCATCATGTTTCGCGAGGGAATAACGAAGCCAAAAAACGACCGTTTTTTTCTTTGAAATTACCCCGGGACAAAGGAGCTTCCTGGCCAGTATCGTTGCGGGCGAGCATACTTGGCTCCCATCATAGATGGTAGCCACTGAGCGCCATATTTGAAGGGACTGCTCACAGCGCGTGCTCGGGTTGCGTTCTTATTTATGGTCTCCCAAACAAGGCAATCTTGATGCTGAACAATTTGCGTGTGGGAACCGCTCTGTAAGCTTGCCGCCAAGACATGCTTAGCAACAGCAAGCTCCGAGCTACAGCCGCGAGTGAATACCATCTATAAACAGTTAAAAAACATGGCGCCCCGATTGTTGCTCTATGTGCGGGAGCACGTGTAGCTTGCGCGTGAGCATAGCTTTGGTTAGCTTGCAATTGCACGCGCTTGTCCGCACGAGTGTAGACATGGTGGCGGCCAATTTCTGTGGCGTGGTTGATGGTAGGATGAGTGCGCGAGCACAGCTTGAATCGGCGGTAATGCATGCGCCCCCGTACCTTTGACTGCATAGCCACAGAACCATATATCCTCGAGTATGGTGCCAATAAGCTTGTGTAAAGTTAGAAACACTTTTGCCAAATATCACTGCACGACCGCGCAAATGCTCGTGCACGAACGCTTCGATGCTTCACTTTGAGCGCTAAGCATAGCTCGTGCGACATCCAAGCCTTCCCCGTTGCCTCTTGTGACACTTCAGAAGATTTTTCTAAGCCTAGCTGATTTAAAGTCTAGAATTTATTCATAGTGAAATCGCAGTGTATGTTTTTGTTTTGTAACCGGAAGCACAGAGAAGTGACTGGCAGAAAGGAACGCGTCTCTAGGAAGCGCAAGTTGTGCTTCACTTGGAATGAAGTGTCAATCTCTAACATGATACCTCCACCAGTCCTCGAAAATGTCACTTAAATCTTTATTTTCTCCCGTTTTTTTTTTCAATCCTCGTTTGGGAACATAAGTTAGTATAAGAATAGCCAAAAAAAACATGGGTGTTTTGTATGTTACGAGCGTCAAGGTTGATTTTTAGAATTATGTAATAAAAGTAACCCAATTGTTTCTTAACCTGTTATGATACGAAACTTATAGACGTCCATT